TGGTGTGTGTGTGTGTGTGTGTGTGTGTGTGTGTGTGTGTGTGTGACAATGCTTGTGTCTGTGTAAGTGTGTGTGTGTGTGTGTGACAATGCTTGTGTCTGTGTCCATGCTTGTGTGTGTGTGTGACAATGCTTGTGTCTGTGTAAGTGTGTGATTGTGTGTGTGTGTGTGTATGTGTGTGTGTTTATGTAAGTGTGTGTGTGCGTGTGTGTGTGTGTGTGTGTGTCTGTGTGTGTCTGTGTCCATGCTTGTGTGTGTGTGTGTGTGACAATGCTTGTGTCTGTGTAAGTGTGTGATTGTGTGTGTATGTGTGTGTGGTATGTACCTGTGTCAATGCTTGTGTGTGTGTGTGTGTGTGTAAGTGTATGTGTGTGTGTTTATGTAAGTGTGTGTGTGCATGAGGCTCACTATACGCTTGTGAAGGTGAGCTGTCTGGCTTTGAGGCTAGTATCTGTGTTGACAACAACCTTTGTGTGGTTCTCACTGGCTTCATGTCTTGATTGCAACCATTTCATCTTGACTAGAGGTGGTGCAACAATCGTACCAAGCTGTCGATGATGGCGACATGCTGCTGGTACGTAAGAGTGACATGCGCACATACGTCCACACATCCACTTAATTTTTGCATAGCAGAACCTTCAAATCACTCAGACGACCATCACCACTATTCACAGCCCACACACACACACACACACACACACACACACACACACACACACACACACACACACACACACACACACACACACACATTGACACAATCAACACCCTCCCTCACCCTCCCTCACCATCATCGTTCCCGCCCATCCTCTTGCTGCAGGTCGCAGGTACGTCGCTACAGGTGTGGAGTGCACTCCGCCTGGTGCGGCGTGCCATATCCGATGGCAAACCCGTCGCCGTCGTCACGCGCGGACCAACCAGGGCTGACGATATCGGTGAGGCGCCACGCAATGGATGGATGGTTGGATGGATGGTTGGATGGATGGATGGTTGGTTGGTTGGATGGTTGAATAGATGGTTGGTTGGTTGCATGGTTGAATGGAATGACATGCGGTGGGATGGCGAGGCATGCATACAAGCATGTACAGATGCTTGGTTCGAGGATGGTGCAACACAAAGTGTTGATGGCATTCCTTGCTGACTTGATGTCCTGTTGGCCATCGCCATCGCTGCTTGCGTGTGTTCATGCGTCACCATCACTGCTAACTTGGCTTGCATGCACAACAATGGCCACGCTTCCATCTACAGTGACGCTGAAGCTGGACGTTCCACTCGCAGACACGCTGCCGTCAATCCTACAAGATGCAGCATAGGCGTGCACAAGTGCACACACAAACACATGCGTGTGCGTGCGTGCGTGCGTGCGTGCGTGCGTACACATGTACATGTGTGTATGATCGTGCTGTCGTTCATGTGTCTCTCGCCATGTTTTCCACCCATCTGCCTGGAACGCCTTCCCTGCCATCACCAAGTGAGGTTCGCGCTGTCTTTCCTTCTCCATCCTTCATCATCCCGTACTTGTGGTTTATTCGTGTACATAAAGATACGGATGCCACTTGACCCGCTTCGTTTCAGGACAAACAGAAAATGAAAGTCGCGCGTGTGCTTGCTGGCATGCTTGCAAACATTCCAACAGCAGCACACGTACACATGCAGGCATACATGCGTCGCAGCACGCGTTGCTTGCAGGCACACAAATGGCACGTTCAAAGCTGCGTGTGTCCGCTGGAGGACTCCATGGAGGACAGCGGGGAGGACTTGCCGTCCTTGACAGTGAGAACGCACTGATAGGCCGATTCGTACAGGGGCCGCGACGCCTATGGAAGGAAATGCACAAGAAGCAAGGGGGTGGTGTGTGGGACGAGGTGTGAGATGATGCGAGCGAGAGGAGGGGAGAATTACGGCGGAGTCGACACACACACACACACACACACACACACACACACACACGCACATCGGCGTGTTTGTCGCACCTCAACGGGCCTGTATTGGTCAGTGGGCCGCCTGTTCTGGCGGAGCGCAGAGGGTGTGATGACGATGCTATCACGCGAAAACGGTGACGAGTTCTGCTGCTGCTGCTGCTGTTGCTGCTGTTGCTGCTGCTGCTGTTGTGGTGATGGCTGGTGTGATCGCTGAAGAGGCGATGCCGGTGCTGTTGTTGATGCTGTTGTTGCAGACGGTAGAGTTGGTGGCTGCGGTGAGCGTGAGTTCCGCAGTGGCGGCGGTGGTGGTGGTGGTGCACCCAGGGATGACGGGATGGGGCTCTTGCACACCGGTGTCTCGTACACGGCTGTTACGCGACGAGCAACGAGGGAGATGTGTGCGTGTGTATGTGCACATGAGTTGGTGTTGGTTGAAAAGGAAAGCACACAGGCAGGCGTAAGGGCAGGCAAGCACGGGGTTCTGGTGTCGCATTGTGTCAAGCAGGCGAGTGCTCCAGCTTCGCAGATTCACACACATACACGCACACACACACACAAACACACACAAACACACACAAACACACATACACACAAACACACACACACACAAACACACACACGCACACAAACACACACAAACACACACAAACACACACAAACACACACAAACACACACAAACACACACAAACACACACAAACACACACACGCGTGCGCACCTGCTGATCGTGTGGGTGTTGGCCGCTGTAGGTTCTCGCCAGCACCACCACCGTTGGCCATGGCTGATGATGATGGTGATGATGATGATGATGATGGTGTCGGTGGTAACAATTCATCGGCCGGTTGCGCTTCCTCGTACGGATCGCTGCTGTCGTCTCGCTCCAACACAGAGGTGGTGGTGTTGTTGTCGGTATTGGTGGCGGTGGTGTTCGCGTTGGAGGGTGGGGTGGCACTTGGTGGTGCTGGTGACGGTGCATGTGATCGTAGCGGCACGTGGGGGAGGTTGGACTGCGGGGTGTTGCTCCGGGACCTGGTGGAATGGAAATGGGTGGAGTGAAAAAAGGGGAAACAAAGAGTTAGTGGTCGAAGCATCAATTGGCGCTCAACACAAACACAAACAAGTTCACAACGAGCATATCAACCAACCATGAACCCATCAACCAACCATGAACCCACCAACCAACCATGAATCCATCAACTACCCAAGTTTCGCCACCAGTCCCAATCATCCGCCACATGAAGCATCATCACCACCTTGGAGGAATCACGGGCCGGAACTCCATCCTGCGAGCATTGCTCGCCCACGAGGGATGGCTGCCGCTCTCCACAAAACTGTCAGACTTGGGCAAGTTCGCTTTCAACCTGCAAACGGTACATGAGCACAGCATGATGAGGGCGCGCACAAGGTGAGTGATTGGCGGGAATGTGGAAAGAAAGAAGGAAACACAATACTCACACACGGTGACTGTCTGTCTGTCTAACACACGCACACAAGCAGATACAAATAACCCCCACTAGCACACACACACACACACATACACATACACAAGCAGATACGCACACACACACACACGTACACAAGCAGATACGCACACACACACATACACAAGCAGATACACACACACACACACACGCGTACACACATACACATACACACACGCTAACTCACAGTTCAAGATCCGGCAGGTGGAGCTTGAGGTTGTGTGAATCTTGCTCCTCCCCTTCCTCCTTGCTCTTCCTTCCCTTCTTCTTTTTCTTCTTCTCCTTCTTCTCCTTCTTCTCCGCACGCTTCTTGTCGCCATGCTTGCAGGCAACGGCAGCAGCAGCAGCAGTGGCTGGTGATGATGACACACCGGCACTCGCGGGGCTACTGCCGCGCCTGCGTTCACCGTCGCCATCGACACCACGATGATGACGGTTGTGATGATGGTGGTGCCCACGTCTGCCGACATGCCCTTCCGACATGCGCCGTGCTGCCTCTGCGTCCTCTTGCGTCTGGTGGCGCACCCGGCGTGGCCTGGGCGCGTGCAGTGCCGCTGCTGGTGACGATGATGGTGATGATGATGATGACGGTGATGGGAACATGGCATCCAGACGAGCAGGCGATGCAGTCATGTACTTTCGCTCATCAGCGGCACTGCTGCTGATGGCGACGGTGGCGACGGTGGCGGTGTTGTTGCTCGTGCTCTTAGTATCATCAGCAAAGGTGTTGCTGTTGCTATTGGCACTGCCAGTGACGTTGTTGGCACTGCCACTGGTGTCGCTGCTGTCGTTGTTGGCGGTGTCGCTGGCGCCACCGCTGCTGTCCTGGGCGCTCATGTGGGAAGCTGCACGACTGCGCACGTGCTCGTGCTTGCTGTTGATGTGCGGGTTGAACTTGTCGTAGGCGAAGAAGTCTGGCAGGCTGACCCCTTCCGCGTCGGGCCAGAAACGCATGGCAAAGATGACGGGTGACCGCTGGTAGAAGCGAACCAGCTCGTCCATGGTCACAAACGCGTCCACGTCCGCCAGCGCGAACATGCCCTTGTCCTTGGTTGCCGGCACGATCTTGGCGTGCGTAAACGTCCCCAGCTTGCCCGGGTTGTCGCGCCAGATGACGCTGAACACGTAACCGCCGTCGGTGGGCGAGCGTCGGACGAGGAACGTGCCATCGCGGCAGACGGCGAGTCTCTGGTTGGCCTCCGTGCGGGAACACACGCCCACGTGATATGCCTGGTTCTCCTGCTGCTCTTCCACGCTTGGGATTTTCGGCAGTGCACGCTGGGCTGGGCTGCCAAGCGATGCCGCGCGCTGACGACCTCGCCGTTGTTGTTCTTCAGGGTTGGTGTCGCGCACGACCTGCTGCTGCTGGTGCTGCTGCTGCTGCTGCTGCTGCTTCGTGGTATCAGCTTCCTTGTGCTGTTCTTTCTTTCCATCCGTTGAAGTGTGCTGCTGCGGGCGCTTCCGCAGCTTCAGCATCTTCAACATGGCTGCGTTGTGTGTGTGTGTGTGTGTGTGTGTGCGTGTGTGTGTGTGTGTGTGTGCGACAGTTGTGCTTGTTGTCACCTCTGTTGCTGTGTCACCGCCGTTGTGCGTGTGTGTGAGAGACAAGACAAAGGAAATGTATGGCTGATGGCTGGCGGCTGCTGGCTGCTGGCTGCTGGATGTGAAGCGCGCCAACCAACACAAGGCAAAAGCACAGCACAGCACACCATCCTCATGTTTATCAACACACCAACAACGCCAAGGCATGCCAAAGGCGCATCGTTGTGGCTGTCCTCTCCGCTCGAGCCGGCATCGTTGGTCAGGTTGGTAAATGTTGCTGAAGATTTAAACAATAATTCTTAAATGCGGCGTACGACAGCACAAGATAGAGTTCAATTTGCTGGCAGCCAACCAACCAAACCAAACAACAACCACCACACCCACCACCATCCTTGTTGCTTGCTTGCTTGACTCCTCGTCCTCCATCATCACGCTCACACTCCTCACCTTCACCCCCACGCTCCCCCCACACACACGCTCCCCACACTCCTCACGATGAAGCCGCCGGTGCCTGAGGTGAAGGTGTCCCGGCATGCGCTGTTCCTGACGCTGTCTTCGTTGGCGGTGGCACTGTGCGTCACGGTGATTGCACTGGACTTTGCCTTGCTCAGCGTCTTCTACCTGAAGGTGCGAGACTCCTTCTACCACTTCCAGGACGTCAAGGAGTGCCCCGCAGCAAACGCCGTGCTCTGCTGCAGCGCCGTGCAGCAGTGCCCCTCGCATCCAAACGCCACCCAGTGCGTCGACGACCACAGCTGGTCGGGAAACTGCTGCGTGCGCACGGACGACGTGGGCCTCTTCTACGTCGTCGCCGTCCTCTTCTTCGTCATCTTCGTCGTGCAGGTGCTGGATCTCGCCACCAAGGTCGTGCAGTGCCGAAACCCATCCGAGCACGTCCTCGTCAAGTTGTGGGAGGTCTTGCTGGCGCTCATTTCCCTGGGCATCGCCGTCGGCCTCGTCGTCATCTCGTCCGTGCTGAGCGGGTCCACCGCGCCCTTCTGCTACTCGGACGACGTCACGCAGAGACAGCTGCAGGCCGCATTCGGCGGCTTTGTCAACCTGTTCCAGCTCAGCATTGTGGAGGTCACCCTCATCAGCATCCTCACCGTGCTGGACTTTGTGCTCGTCTTTGGGATCGTGCGCCCCAACATGGAGAGGGTGCGGGAGAGGCGAGAGCGCAAGAAGCAGCGGCGACGGGAGCGTAGGGAACGACGAAAGCGTGCCAAGCAACGCGGATCCGATGCTACTAGTAGTGTTGATGTTGGCAACGACGTCGTCTACGATATTGGTGATGCGGATGACGATGATGATGATGATCACAAGGCGCTGGCAGAGACGACGCTCGAGAACATCAGCGATGCCGATGACGATGATGGAGATGGTGGTGGTGACAATGACATCAACCGCGGTGGTGCGCGGGGAGACATGATGGGCGATGATGAGGAGGACATGGGCATGGACAAGCCCCTCACAGAGAAGGTGGAGGGGTTTGGAAGCCACTGAATGCTCGACGTGTGTGCTTGCGTGTGTGCGTGTGTGCTTGCGTGTGTGTGTGTGTGCGTGTGTGTGTGTGTCTGTGTGTGCGTGATGTGTGTCTGTGTACGTGTGTGTGTCTGTGTCTGTGTCTGTGTTGATGTAATCGTGCATTACTTTGTTTCAAATGTGCGCGTGCGTCGTTTGTGCGTTGTCCCTCCTCCTGACTGTAACCGTCATGACACTGTTGATCAATGCTATGCACTGCACTCTTTTGTTCTTGTGTACATTTGCAGATTGCACAGCCCTCAACACGTTATACCGACCTGTGCGTATGTGTGTGTGTGTGTGTGTGTGTGTGTGTGTGTGTGTGTGTGTGTGTGTCGCCAGCTGTGTTGTTTGTTGCTTGCTTGCTTGCGTTGCTTATTGGACACGCGTTTATTGAATTGATAGCTTCCGTTGGGTCGTTTGAAACGTTCACATGGCCCCTGAACAATACACAATAACAGGCATCATTGGCACGTAATGGATTTTTGCAACAGAGTAACGATCACAACACGAACACAACACAGCACAATCAATGTCCAAGCGCAACGCAACGGGAATTGTCGTGTGTGTTCATGTGCACGTCCATGTTGCTGATGCGCCTGTGCCTGCAGGCAAGACGACAGCGAATCGTGCAACACCTGCGCGCGGCTGCGACACCACAACGCCGCTGCCTGCGCACTTGAGCTGGTGAGCAATCAAACCCTCCACGTCCATGTACATATGCATTGGCCGGGCCTCCATACCCGGGCTGTTCAGGGAGAACACAAGCGATGGTGCAGATTTCATCTGATGCGCCCGTCCATTCGTCCCCCGCTCGTCATCAGCACCAGAATCATGATTAACGCCACCATCGCGAGTACCGTCGTGCTGATGATCGGTATGGTTGCTGGTGCTGGTGTTGTTGTTGTTGCTTTTGGTGGTGGTGGTGGTGGTGTTGTTGTTGTTGTTGTTGCTTTTGGTGGTGGTGGTGGTGGTGGTGCTGGTGTTGTTGTTGTTGCTTTTGGTGGTGGTGGTGGTGGTGGTGTTGTTGTTGTTGTTGTTGTAGTTGTTGTTGTTGAAGTTGTTGTTGTTGTTGTTGTTGTTGAAGTTGTTGTTGTTGTTGTTGTTGTTGTTGTTGTTGTTGTTGTTGTTGTTGTTGTTGTTGTTGTTGTTGTTGTTGTTGTTGTTGTTGTTGCTTTTGGTGGTGGTGGTGGTGATGGTGGTGGTGCTGCTGCTGTTGATGGTATCACTTGCGGCGGTGGCGGTGCGAATCATGAACAGGCCAGGTCCACTGACGGTCACATTCCAGCACCCAGCGCTGCTGACAAATGTGCGGTCGCGAGCTGCAGCGCCAGGCCACGACACCACCGCCATCACCGCCCGCCCTCTCGTCAACCAATCACTGGATGACGATGATGACGATGATGATGATGAGGAGGAGGAGGAGGAGGAGGAGGAGGAGGAGGAGGAGGAGGAGGAGGAGGAGGAGGAGGAGGAGGAGGAGGAGGAGGAGGAGGAGGAGGAGGAGGAGGAGGAGGAGGAAGCATGCATGTGTGCAGCAGCATCACGACTCTCCTCGCCACCACCACCGGTATTGCCGTTGTCGCTGGTGCTGTTGCGTGGCGGTGCATTGATGCAGACGGCTTGGGCGTGTCGTGTGTTAACGAGCACACGCAGGCGCTGCTGCACGTGTGCATGTGCGGACCACATGTCCGACGCTGACGTCACAGCGGGTAGGATTGCGTACGACATGGACGTTGCGTTCTGCCCAGCAACAACGCCGTGGTTGATAAAAGCGTTGAACACGGCACGTGTCAACGGTGTTGGCGGTCCTTGTGTAATGTTCGCCCAGCTGCCCGTCTGGTTCTTTGTCGACACCACTACCTCAAGCGACGACGACGGAGATGGTGGTGATGCTCGCAGTGCTGGCACGTGCTGTTGTATCTGTTGTTGCTGCTGTTTGTGCTGCTGTTGTTGTTTCTGTTTCTGCTGTTGCTGCTGTTTCTGATGCTGTTCTGGGAGGGAGAGAAGGTATCCGATGTTGCCATGCCACAGCCACGTGGGTCCTTGCAGCGTCGTGTTCGTGCCTGCAGGCAACGTGTGTTGTCGATGTTGTTGCTGGCGTAGATGTGACCCCTTCGTGGCACCACCACCATCACCAACATTCCCACCAACATTCCCACGACCACCGCCACCATCATCATCAAGTTCGCCCACAACCACGTCGGAACGCAGGTTGGACTGGTCGAGAGACGTGGTGATGGGGTAGGGCGCATCCGACGTCAGTCCTCCCAGCAGCACAATCACAGCGCCGTCAACGAAAACATGCATTTTGGAAACATGCATCGTCACGGCGTGCCCACGCGTGAAGTTGATGGCGGCCACACTAAACGTGCGATCGGTAACACCCCCAACAAAGGAGGTGTGTTGGACGCTGCGCGCATCGCTGCAGGAGTAGGGTGTGCCTGTCTGGTGCTCGGTTGTGCCGGGAATGCGGTGCCACTGCCACACGGGAAACACGTTTTCATACTCCCGCCCCGTCACGTACACATTTAAAACGGCGTCTGCGAGATCACGGCCACGGAGGTTCTCGGAGTTGACGCATTCCGTGTTGATGGTTCGGTTTGAAAACATGCGCACGGATGCAAAGAACGTCGGCCGGTGATGGACCACGTAGTCGCTGTCGTAAAAATGCCAGCTCAGGCTCAGCTGTGACGTTGGTGATGTTGCTGCTGCTGTCGACTTGGCGCCCACACCATCACCACCACAACAACAATCACCACCACCACCACCAGCACCATCAAACTTATCATCGCTGGTGTAGATGTCGTGTGCAAAGGCGTGAAACTCGGCTGCACGCGGACGCGTGTCGTTGACCTCTGAGAGCAGCGGCGCAAACACGACAGAGAGCGGCGTGCGAAGCGGTGACGAAAATGTGGGGAAACTCAAGCGAAAGTCTGTGAACGCGGCAAAGTAGTGGTAGTGACCCTCGTTCACGCCAAACGTGTCGTTGAGCGCAAAGTACGTCATGAGCCGCCCGCTCGTCGTGTAGTCGACGTTGGGGCCGCGCACCACCAGCCGCTGCCCATCCAGCACCAGCGATGCCAGCACACCCCACGTGCTGTTGGCCACCGCAAACCGCGTGCCCTCCGCGTAGCTGGTGAGCAACAGGGCGTTGGCGCTGAGGATGGAGCCATAGCCCCACCCCAGATACAACTGCGGGCCGTGCTGGTGGAAGCTGTTGTCGCGCTGGATGCCATCGCTCTGCTGCGACGGCGCCACGACGATGGCAGATGACGCCGCCTCATATGCCGCTGCCAGCCGCGTCGCGTTGCCTTCCGTGAGCGCGCGAAGGACGTTGACAGACGCAATCCACACGCGGTTGCAACCGGTCATGCCGTACGCGCGCGACAGGGGCCCGCGGTCAAGCAGTGGCGTGGCGAGCGGGTAGAGCGCGGTGGCATCGGCCGGCGACAGGAGCAAGAGCACCTTGCCCACGATGCGTGGAACGCCAATGTCCATCCACCACCAGTTGCTGTTCTTGAAGTCAGCCTTGAGCCATGCCGTAAACGCCTTGACCAAGGCGCCGTAGACAGTCGCGTTGCCCTGGTGCGCACTGTATGGTGTGTGGTAGGAGATGCCCAAGATCAGGCACCGCTGCAGGTGGATGGATGTCTTCCACCAGCTCCGGCCATCGTAGTCGTTGTAGTCGACGTCGTCAAACGTGCCGTTGGACGTGCGCAGGTGCTCCAAAATATACTGCACCTTGTCATCCCATCGCTCCGGTACCACGCCGCGTGACTGCGGTAGAATGTGACGCAAGACGGCAGCACGTACCGCCGCCACATCATCACTCTCGTGGCTGATGATGTGAACTGAGTGCTGCTGTTGTTGCTGCTGTTGCTGCTGTTGTGGTTGCTGTTGTGGTGGTTGCTGTTGTTCGTAGTGCAGTTGCCTTGGGAACGTCGCTGCTGTTCCTGATGCTGCAACCGCACACAACAGCACAACCAACCATGACGAAACGACCGCTCGCAACATCAACAGTATGAGAGGGAGTTAGGGTGAGGGGAAACGTGCGTGCGTGTGCGTGGAAGGATGAGGTGTGATGTGCTGCATGTGCTGAGACGTCCGTGAACACGAAGCGCGGATCGTGCGTGGTGCGTTTGTTTGTGTTTGTGTTGGTAGAGCATCGGGGAAAGATACCATACACTTTTCTACAACCGCCACGATCAGAGGAAAAAGCAAAGCGTGAGAGTGAGGGTGTGAAGGCTCTGTTCGTTGGCATGCATGCGTGTGGATGTGACAAGTTGCATGAACGGATGGTGGAGGACTTTGTCGGTTGTTGGTTGGTGGGGAGAAGAGGTGCTGGCTGCTTGTCCTTGCTTGACTTGTGGTGATGTCCTTTGAGGCTGCATGAAGACATCGCTCGCTCATTGCTTGTGTATTTGTTGTACTTTGCTTGCAACACATGCACCACGAATTTATCTTCCACACCACGCACACGCACACGCACACGCACACGCACACGCGCACGCACACGCACGCACGCACGCACACGTACACGCACACGCACACACGCACACGCGCACACACGCACACACACACACGCACACACGCACACGCGCACACACACACAGAGCAGCGCAGACTCGCGAAGAACAGTAGCTTCATCGGAAACAAAAGAAAGAGGAACCGCGTGAAGACAAGCAAATCGGTAGCAGGCAAGCAAGCAAGCAGGCTTGTTGCATTAGGGCCCGCTTCAGCCGCCTCCGCCGAGATGCAGGCGTTCCTGTCCTTCATCTCCCGGTTTGATGACACGGTGCCCATTGACAATGGCGACGGGCAACCCATCAACGACTCCCAGAAGGAGCTGGTCAAGGAAATGCGCCAGCGCCTCAAGCATGTGCTGCAACCCATCCACTCCGACAGGTGTGTGTGTGTGTGTGTGTGTGTGTGTGTGTGCATGCGTGTGTGTGTGTGTGTGTGTGTGTGTGTGTGAGTTGGGGGAGGAGAGAGGCTTGTGTGTGTGTGTGTGTGTGTGTGTGTGTGTGTGTGTGTGTGTGTGTGTGTGGTACGTAATGCGCTCAGCCCTCTTCTGCGTGTGTGCCCTCATCTCCGCAACGACCTTGCACAACAGGTTCTTGGTGCGATATCTGGCTGCGCAGAACTACGATCTGGACAAAGGCACGGAGATGGCGCGGAAGCATCTGCAATGGAGAGAGGAGATGGGTGCTGACAGGCCCATCCCTGAACTCATCGCAACCGTTCCAGAGGTGAGGAGTGTGTGCGAGTGTGTGCGTGTGTGTGTGTGTGTGTGCGT